CTTAAGCTGTGTCATGTTAGTAAATTGGTGGGGAAAACACTTAGCACCTAACAGAAGGTAAATTATTTTAAAACTATTATTATGCTTGTACTATGGAGTACTGCACAGCCACAAAAAATGATTTGGTCAAGTTATATTTACTTCCATATACAGAAGTCCATGATATGTTAAGTGAAAAGGATTATAAAGTGACACTATGACACAATAAAGTTTTTTTTTTTCAAAATCCTGTCTATTTAAGGGTAGCATTAAAAAAAAAGATTTCCATTAAGATTAGGAATAAGATAGGACTGACCTATAGAATCATCTCCATTCAACATTACCTTGGAGATTATAAAATAAGAATTAAAAAAATTAAACATTGGAAAAGGTAAGTAATCCCAGCAACCCAGGAAGCTTCGGTAGGAGGATCATAAATTTGAGGTCAGATTAAGTAATTTAGTGAGTCTCATAGTAACTTAGCAAGACTGTCTCAAAATAAAAAAATAAAAAAAAAATAGGCTGGGGATGTGGCTGAGTAGTAAAGTGCCTCTGGGTTCAACCCCCAGTACTTAAAAAAAATATTTAATTTCTGTAATTAAAGCCTTTGTGAAATAAATATAGAAATATAGAAAACTAAGAAACATCTGGGTGTGGTGGCATATGCCTGCAATCCCAGTGACTCAGGAAGCTGAGACAGGAGGATTGCCAAGTTTAAAACCAGCATCAGCAACTAGGCTAGTCTCTAAGCAACTTACAAGACTTTGTCTCAACATTTAAAAAATAAATAAATAAAAAGAGCTGGAATGTGGCTCAATGGTTAAGTACCCCTGGATTCAACTCCCAGTACCAAAAACAAACAAACATAAATTCTTAAAATTACAAATGCCCCAAACTAAATTTATTAATATTTAACTAATGACCAATAGTTATCTTCCAGTTTAATGTCAAATATATCAAAGTCTCTTTCCAGCGAGGCATAGTGGTGCACACCTATAATCCCAGCAGCTTGAGAGGCTGAGGACCCAAGTTTGATGTAAGTCTTAGCAATTAGCAAAAAAAGTCCTCAAAATAAAAGTTCTCAATTAGCAAAAAAAAGTTCTCAAAATAAAAAATAAAAAGGGCTGGGGAAATAGCTCAGTAGTGGAATGTCCCTGGGTTCAATACCCGGTAGTGCAAAAAGAAAAAAGAAAAAAAAGCCTCTTTCCTCTTTGTCTTCAATGATTTAAACAAAGATTAAACTAATTTTTTATATCTATATGCACTAATAAGTAGTATGTTTTATGGTTTTAAATCAGTTTCCCTCTTTCATCTGATCTCCAATTTTGGAAGAAACTTGTTTTCAACTTTAAGTTCAAATTTGGTTGGTTGTTTGGAACTCAACTAATTTCCCCTAGAAATCCTAACAGTAGTGAAGTTTCCTGCTTAGCTTAGAAAGGAGCTAATTTAACCCATAATGCACACATTAGAACCAAATTCAAACCAAATTCTCATTGACAAAAATGTTAATAAGGATAAAATACCTCTAGTGTTCCAATGTGAGAAGTCAAACACATGCCTTCTTTCTTCAATTTCCTTTTTCCCAACCACTCAACTCAAGAATACTAAGAAAGGACAGATATTTCTAACTTTTTTCACTCTCAAACCCTGGCATGGCTGGTAGTGTCCTAACCTGAGAGGCAGTAGCAGTACTAGGATATAGTTATGTTACTCTTCACTCTGCCCAGTGCCAAAGAGTGAGGAGAACAGGTAGAATTAGAAAGTTCATATATGTCTGTATATACATGATAAATTCATATATATTCACAGATTCATTCACCTATATACTCTTCCACTCTATAAATGTTAGGCGTGGACATGTGGCAATGGAACATAGGTGAACGTGAGCTATATTCCACACATCTAAGCAGAGGGGGGTTTTTTGTTTTGGTTTATTTATTATCTTTCTTTTCTTTTAAATTTGTTCTAATTAGTTACACATGACATAGAATGCATTTTGACACATTGTACACAAATGGAGCACAACTTCTTATTCCTCTGGCTGTACATGGTGCAGAGCCATAATAGTAGTGTAATCATACATGTATATAGGGTAATAATTTCTGTCTCATTCTACAGTCCTTCCCATCCCCACTCCCCTCTGCACAATCCTAACTTCCTTCCTTCTTCCCTTGACCCCTGGGTGTTTTTTTTTTGTGTGTGTGTGGATTGATTGATTTGTTTATTTATTTATTTGTTTGTTTGTTTGTTTGTTTGTTTTTTGGTTTTGAACCCTGGGGCTCAAGAGATCCTTCCACCTCAGCTTCCCAAGAGCTGAGGCTACGGACTGATGCTTGCCACAATGTTTGGCTCTAAGCACAGCTTTAAAATCACTTGTGTGCTCTGACTTGGTCTTTTGTGCACTTGCCCTCAGCCTTAGGAAAAAAAGCCACTGGAATTTGAGAGGAGTTGGTGGTAAAAAAGCAGAATGATTTAGGAATTTATCTTCATCTGATTCATCTCTCTGTTAAGAAAAGACCTTATAGCTCATCAAAAGGTACTACAGAGGTGTCAAAAACAGTAACCAAAGCTAGAAAGGGCAGAGGTAGGAGAGGTAGGCAGTGCTGTACTCTAAAGAATTACAGAAACTGTTCTCTCTAGTATCTTATCTCTTGGCTAAATTTCTTTAATAACTTTTTTATTGCTCCACTCCTAACCCCATCTGGTTTTCACATAGTAGCCAGACTAACCCTTTAGAAATATGCATCAGATCATGTTATTCCACTGTCATATTATGAGGGATCTTGAGGGCCGTAGTGTGGAATTTGGGTTTCATGGTTAAAACAAAATCTAAAAGTTATATAACATCAAAATGTAAACCACAATAGGGTGGGAGCAGTTACCAGAGTCAAGTAATTTCTCTAAATCTTTAAAGTTGTAAGTAAACTACTATAGTATAAAGTAGTATTAAGGTCCAAAATGGCACTATCATAAAAAATTATGTCTTGGTTTACTCAACTTATAGTATAGTTAAGAACATAACCCACTTAAAAAATATTTCTTAGGCTCGGGGTGTAGCTCAGTGGTAGCACTTGCCTACCCTGCGCTCAATACGGAAAAACAAAACAAAGCACACAACTATTTAAGATGGCTAAAATTTAACTTAAATTTTGGGAATACTCAAGATATTCGAGATTATTCTCCAGTGGCTCTAATGGTATAATATTATACAATGTAACCATAGGCAGCCTATAAGAAGGCATTACTTGCATGGAAAATACATTCTAAATTCAATTATTTTTTCAGTGTCTCCAACGTGAAAGCTTTATACAGTAAATAAATGGAGAATATTTCAATGGGTACTAAGTATTTACAGGGTATAGTTCCCATTTGCAAGGATTTTGTAATCTAGTAGAGGATTCAGACATGCAAATATTTAAGAATGCCAGAAATACTTATCTTTACCAGCAAGAGAACAGAGATTATATTCTACAATGAAGCAGGCATGGGGCTGGTAATAGGCTAGACTGCAATAGCTTCAAAGCTGCAGATGCCCCTGAGCACAGTAACTTGTTAACTCTTAACATTTCCAAAAGAGAACATACCTCTTTTTTTTTTTTAAGATAGAGTGATAGAGGAGAGAGAGGGAGAGAGAGAGAGAGAGAGAATTTTTTTAATATTTATTTTTTAGTTTTCGGCGGACACAACATCTTTGTTTGTATGTGGTGCTGGCCGCACGCATGCCAGGCGAGTGTGCTACTGCTTGAGCCACATCCCCAGCCCTGAGAACATACCTCTTTCTCACATGATACGTTACATAAATGAACAAGAAATGTCATGATTAAGTGCCCAAATAATGAAGGGGCTCTGAAAACAACTTAACAGCCAATTTCTTCTTAGATGATTTCTAAATCAGATGTTTTTAAGTTTGGGGCTCTGTTTTTGTTATGGTTAACCCCAAAATATAGTTTCTACATGTTCAAAATAAGGTAAAATCATAAGTGTAAGCTGGAAATGGTGGGCACATGCCTATAATCCCATCCACTTGGTGGCAGGAGGATCCCACGTTTGAGGTCAGCCTCAGCAATTCAGTGGGACCCTAAGCAACTTAGCAAGACCCTATCTCAATACCACCTATATACAAGAATAGGGCAAAGGTAAAATTAATAAACAAAATCAAATATAGATGTAAGTGGAAAAACTGCTACTAAATTAAACTTTCAAATATCTTTACTCACACCTAAAAAATGTGGAATAAGATAGTTTAAAAAAAATCAATAAATTTAAAAATTCAGGGGCTGGGGATGTGGCTCAAGCGGTAGCGCACTTGCCTGGTATGCGTGCGACCCGGGTTCGATCCTCAGCACCACATACCAACAAAGATGTTGTGTCTGCCGAGAACTGAAAAATAAATATTAAAAAAAAAATTCTCTCTCTCTCTCTCTCTCTCCTCTCTCACTGTCTCTTTAAAAAAAAAAAAAATTTAAAAATTCAAGTCATCTATGTGTCGTGGCACACATCTGCAATACCAGTGACTCAAGAAGCTGAGGCAGGAGGATCACAAGTTCCAGGTCAGCCTCACTAACTCAGTGAGGCCCTAAGTAAGCCAAGAAGACACTGTCTTTGAATAAAAAATAAAAAGGACTGGGATTGTGGCTTAGTTGTTAAGTGTCCTTGGGTTCAATTCCTGGCACAAAAACAATAACAAAACAACAACAACAACAAAAAAAAATCAAGCCAGGCATGGTGGATAATCCTAGCTCCTAAGGAGGCTGAGGAAAGAGATCACAAGTTCAAGGGCAACCATGGCAATGTAATAAGAGTGTCCCAAAATAAAAAGGGCTGCAGATGTAGCTCAGTATAGAGGACTTGTCTCCAATGTATGAGGCCCTCCGTCAATCTCCAGTAGAGGGATTGAAACAAACCAGGCAAGACTATACATAAATGAAAACTGACAACAAATCTAAAAAACAATTTAAATACACAAATAATATATACTCAAAACAAAAAACGAACCACTCAAAATTAGCATTCAGACTTACCGTAACAGGAGTTCTTTGGGAAGTTTTTTATTGATTACAGCTTCATCACTATTTGAGAACATCTGCAAAAACAAAATCACTGTCAACAGTGTCAAGTTTACTTAACATTTTATACTATATTCAACTCAATAGTTCAGAGATAATCCTCCCAGTAGATTTAAAAAAATTATAGTGGACATTGTAAGCCTAAATAGTATTTTCAGAGATGCTTTGGGCTTCAAAAAAGTTGAGGCATTTCATTCCATCTTTTGAGATAAAGAACTAATAGAAAAAAGTGCTGAGGCTGAGATGATGGCTCAGCAGTAGAGCGCTCACCTAGCACCATCCTCAACACCACATAAAATAAATAAATAAAATAAAGTTATTGTGTCCAACTACAACTAAAAAAATAAATATTAAAAAAAAGTGCTGAGGGGGCTGGGGATGTGGCTCAGGCGGTAGCGCGCTCGTCTGGCATGCGTGCGGCCCGGGTTCCATCCTCAGCACCACATACAAACAAAGATGTTGTGTCCGCCGAGAACTAAAAAAAATAAATATTAAAAATTCTCTCTCTCCTCTCTCTCTCTCTCTCTCTCTCTCTCTCTCGTAAAAAAAAGTGCTGGGGAGTAATACTGACCAAATTATATTGTTATATTATGTATAAGTACAAATATATAACAAGTTTCATAATTATTTACAACTATAATGTACCAATAAGAAATGTGGAAAAATGTAATGTAAAACTTGAAAAATAAAAGTGGGAAAAATAAATAATAGAAGAATATTATGTGCCAGATACTGCTATAAGAGTTTTTCATGTATTAGTGTTTTTAGTCTTCATGCTATTCTTCACTTTCAAGATAAGGAATTACAAAAGGTTACTGCTCAAGGTCACATTATTGCAGAGTGATTACTTAAAATGCCCACACCTGGTTTGCATTTACTTTTTCAAGGAGATATTCAGAAACCTGGAATGTGTCTCTTTTGTGTTTAAGATACAACATGCAGAAAACTGATAATGCTTCCTAACCACTGCCACTAAGTATCCATAATGGCTACTTTTAAACACAGCTACCATTTTTGCCACAAAGGTGTTCATAATCTTGTCTAGTAAGGCTATGTAAAAACCAAATACATATATCCAGTAAAAAGTACTGTAAAAATCAACAAATACACATGCCACTGAAGCCAATTTAAATTCAATCCCTGCTATTAGTATTGCAAAAATTCCTCTTGATTTCATGTAATGAACATTTCTGACACCCTGTAAATACCAGGCACTTTTCTAGGCAATGAGACACAAAGATATCTCTGTCCTTAAAGAGCTCTTGCTCTACAATAAAGAAAACAGAAACAAATAATTCACTGATTGAGATGTATATCAAAACAAAAGATAGGACAACTAATTCTGCCTGCATATATATCTAAATTGGTTCTTTTTAAATTTTTTTTTTAAAGAGAGAGGGGGAGAGAGAGAGACAGAGAGAGAGAGAGAGAGAGAGAGAGAGAGAGAATTTTAATATTTTTTAATTATCGGCGGACACAACATTTTGTTTGTATGTGGTGCTGAGGATCGAACCCGGGCCCATGCGTGCCAGGTAAGCGCGCTACCGCTTGAGCCACATCCCCAGCCCGAAATTGGTTCTTAAAGGAATATCAGAATTAATTGGGAAAAAAAGGAGAGAGATAACATACAAATAAGAGATTAACAGTACAAAATAAAGGAGCCATAAGAAGGTCCTGATAGTTCATTAAAATTCAAAGTACAGAAACTAGTGAAGGGGAAGCAGATGGGAAGGAGAAACAATGAATAGAATGCAGTACCCCATCTCAGATATTTAAAGATTAATTACATAATAAATATTTTTCTAATAACTTTAAAATACCTTCCACATAAATGGAAAGCTCTTGGAGGGTACACAGAATGCTGTCACATATGCCATATTTCCAGGGCTGAGTACAAAGTCTGATATATTGTTGAACTCAATAAATCTAATGTTAAGCATGGTGGGGCTGGATCATGAGGAAACTTATATACCAGGCTAGAAATTTGAAACAACAAAGTAGGGAAGAAGAATCTGAAGAAATTAAACTGAACTCCGGAATGGTAGTGAGAAGATATAGCCACTGAAATTATAACACAAGTAGAAGACGCTGGGGCAGTGGAAATAAAAAAAGAAACTGAAGAAAAGTATTCTCTCCTCACCCCATATTAAGGATCGAGCTACACCACTGAGCTACATACCCATCCCCTCTTTTTTTTTCCTTTTCTCTTTTTAAATAGGATCTGGCTAAATTGTCCAGGCTGGCCTCAAATTTGCTAGTCTTGGCTTCCCAATAGCTAGGATCAAAAGCATGAGCTATCACCCATGGCTTGAAGATAAGGATTCTTAAAAGAAGCAATAATACTTGGTGACCAAAAGTAGGATCATTTAGCAACTATCAGTGCAACAGATTACAGAAATGAGAGTACTGACAATTAAGTTCTTCTTCTTCTTCTT